CGCTCCCCAAATAGCGAGAAACCACTGAAACATTGTCAATGTTAATGCGCAAATGCAAATTGCATTGAATTAATGTTACAAAGTGATGTTGGTTCAATATCACTTTTGCATCTGAAGTTAATGCTGAAACAAGGTTGTAATTTCAACACAATATTGAATCAATGATATTCAACATTGACATGAACAAGAATCATTGATAATATTGTTCTGTGTTACATTGTCATGTCATCACTCTTGTTGAATCAATATTTAATTTAAAAATAATCATATTGTTGGATCAATGTGTTGATTCTAAACACTTTTACTGAAACACTGAAAATACAATTAATTGAAATGTCAAAATAAAAGAGTGTTGCCATCTGATGTACCAAGTTAATGTTGAAACAACATTAATATTTAAACTACACTATACATCAACAAATGCCTAATTTCAAAGTTTGGGGAAAACCTTTTAAAATAAAAATGACACCTGAACACACCTGACATCATAAACATTGCTTCCCAACTCGTAAATACAAACCCTGAAAGCACCATTAGCCTACTTCTGCATAGCATGTTCCAAGGTAAAAAAATAAACTTTTCTAAGTGAAGTGAAGTGACATGTGGCCAAGTATGGTGACCCATACTCAGAATTAGTGCTCTGCATTTATCCCATCCAAAGTGCACACACACAGCAGTGAACACACACACACCGTGAACACACACCCGGAGCAGTGGGCAGCCATTTTTTGCTGTGGCGCCCGGGGAGCAGTTGGGGGTTCGGTGCTTTGCTCAAGGGCACCTCAGTCATGGTATTGAAGGTGGGAGAGAGTGCTGTACATTCACTCCGCCCACCTACAATCCCTGCTGGTACGAGACTCGAACCCGCAACCTTTGGGTTACGAGTCCGACTCTCTAACCATTAGGCCACGACTTCCCCTTTTCCATTAAAATCCAATATTTGCCCCAAGGGACTGATTTTGAGGGGCATTATTTTATCTTCATTTTTATAATTAGGCTAGCTTATTAATTGTTTCTGTGTTATCTTTTATGTCAAATACTTAAATTTAGCCAATTACTAAAATCGATCAAATATAAACTGTTACCAATAACAACAAACTGTTTAAAATGGTATATTCCACATTTAAAAAAACAGGGACTCATTAGGCTGCAATATTATGACAACAATTATTGTTAATTATTGCTCTTTATATTGTAATAATGACTACTAATGTCGTTTAAGAGAATACATTAAAAAAAACAGTCTATGCTTGGACAAACGGCACGTCATATTCTGGCTACAGACAAACATGTCAGTTTATGATGTTAGTTTATAGCGCAAATTATACAACTTCCATTACAACCAGTGAAGCTGTCTATGAGGCGAAATTAATCTCTTACATTGTATCTGCAGTTTGTTGTTTATGATGAAAGAATTCACAAAAATGCAGAATTTATGCATGCACATGACAAGACTCAAGAAAACTGGTGTTTTCTTTTGTGGGAAAAAGATTTAAAAACAAAAATGTGTTTTTAATTGTCGGTTTTAAAAGTGTTGTGGTATGAGAGCAATTTCTTTGAGGGTTTTTTTTAGCGGTAAGTGCTGATCTTGAAAAACAGAGATATCTAAACATCTCCCTCTGATACTAAAAGGCTGTCCAGAGTCTCACACCGAGCAGTTTGACCACACCTGTCTGAAGTAATCCTGAAGACCTCGATTAGCTGGTTCAGGTGTGTTTAAATTGGGGTTGGAATAAAACGCTGCAGGTGGCCCTCCAGGAGCTGAATCTGACATCCCTGAACTAAAGCATCTGTCTTTGTCTTTTTTTGTTTTGTTTTCAGTTTTAAACAGGAGGATAAGGTAGTGTAAGGTGTTGTAATGAAATTTTCTGTGATAAGTTTCCCCATTAACTATCTTAAATTTTTTTGGCTTATTTGTTTTATATGGCCTTTGGATTTTGGCAAAGTGATTTTGATATATTTGTGGTCTTTCATTTTAGCATTCAATTCAGTTGGGCTGAAGGTAAAATGGTCAAACATCACAAATAGCATACATGAAGGCCTAAGGATTTTACATTTTATATGTGTTGTTAGTGCTGTATTTTTATTTATTTATTTATTTTACACTGCAGGAGCTCCACTTGATAGTTGAAGCAGTCACAGTTTCCTTAAAAAAATAGGCAATATGGGCTAATATTGCTGAATTCCCTCTGATAAATGTAATTAATGATTTTCTAACTATATAATAAAAAAAACCTCATTATTATTTTTTAACTTAAACATTGTTGCACTTTTGTTGGTTTGATTGCATCTATCGTCCTCATTTGTAAGTCACTTTGGATAAAAGGGAGTCAGACTGCACTGTTTGACCTATAGGCTATGCTTTCGATTCACTAAGAAGAACCGATTCTCTAAAATCATTCGTTCGGGAATCGGACTAACGTCACTGTCAAACGTTTAGCGTTTACATTAGAATGTTAAACTTCCAATATCCAGGGATGCAAACGTTTTGAATTAAAAAAATATATAATTTAATCTTTTGAGCGGTACGGTCCCACATGTGGGATTTTTATTTTATTTTTTATTTTATTTTATTTTATTTTATTTCTGTGCCCCTGGGAGTACAAAAATTGTAATGAGATTATAATAATTAAATTAATCTTTAAAGAGTCCCTTGCATTTACAGAAAAAAAATGACAGTAACGGGTTACTGTGTTCAGAAGACTGAATGTGTTCCTGCAGAACATTCTAGCTTTGACCAATTGAAACTTTTTTGTTTGTTTCTATTTATCTATAATTTGTGAATTTACCCTGTTCTTCTGCTTCTTTTTTTTACTATGTTAAAAATGCTGTTTATAACATTTGTTTTGGGCACACAATGTAGAGAATAGTACTGTTTATTTAGTAAAAATGTTTTAGTAATTTAAAAAAGCTTTTTTAAAGTTAAGGCAATCTGTTCAATTGTTACCAAATATTAGTGTATAATTGTGTATACTAGGGTATACTTGGCCCCACCCCTCGAACCATGACCTTTGGGTTATTTTTATATATACCTAAAGAATTCTGCAATTACTTTGCTATTTTTCCGTTACTTAGATTGCACAAATTGGTGATAACTGACATATAAACGAATGCAGATGACATGGTTTTGTACATTTTTTGGGTGAACTATCCCTTTATTAATGGGAAAAAGAAATGAAAGGGGAGAAAAAAACGAAATGCTTCTATATTCTTTATTTTCTTATCTTTTTTTCTGTTATCCTTTTAAAAATACGTAAACATTTCCTCATATACTCTTGATTGCCTTTATCCGTTTTGCTAATATCACTTTGAATGATATAATAATTCTCCTCAGACCTAATTGTTGAGCTGAAGTGTTCCTCTTTCATATGCAATACTAATTAGAATGCTTTACTGTTTCTGGGTGTCCACATTTGTCACAACTACCAGTTTCTTGTTTTCCTATTTTGTGCAAAGTGTAATTTTCTCAGTCAAATGATAATCATCTTTCTATTGCCATACCTAATTTTCTCAGCCCCAACACTCCTGGACCTGGTATAAATGTCTTTCTTTTATGCCATTATCTCACATTGATTTCCTTTTTATTTCTATCATTATTAATCTCTTTATTTCAGCTTATTGAAACCTTGATTTCATCTTGTGATGGTTACAGTGCCGTCTTCAGAGAGACTCTTTGCCAAAAGGCAGGTGATTTTCTTAAACGAG